CACACACACACACACACACACACACACACACACACACACACACACACGTCCTCATGAAAGCTCTTGTGAGATCTCCTTGTGGCTCCTCTCTTCCTCTTTACACAGTGTTGTGGTTCTTCGCGGGCAAACTTTTTTTTCTTTTCTTTCCCTTGACTTCCTGCTTCCAGCCCCGTCTATCCAAACATGGTACGAGAGACGACGGGACCAGTGGAAAACAGGAAGGAGCGCTGACTTGAGCGATTTAACGTGACTGAGGCGGAGTGTGTGTTAGGGATTGTGTGACACTGTGTGTGTGTGTGTGTGTGTGTGTGTGTGTGTGCGAGAGAGCATTCCCCAATGTGGTTTTACTTAGATTCGGGGAGGGAGCTACACAATTGTAGTTCACACCCAGTGTCCTTTTCTATAGGACATGATACAGACGGGGGAGGAGCCCGTAAAAAAGCTCCTCCTCCTCCTCCTCTTCCTCTTCCTCCAACATGCTTGTAGTCGCTGCCTGTAGAAACCATTACCCAATAGGCAGTTTAACCCCTCACCCACACGGCCACAAAACACAAACACTGCTATTAAAAGAGTTTTAAATACAAAGAGAGTAAGAGTATCCAAAAGTATTGAAAATGTGTACGATCATTTTTATGGTATAGATTGTCTAATACATACGATATCCACACAGGACTAAATCCAAGTAAGATTAAAAAGTATATATATATATATATATATATATATATATATATATATATATATATTTCATCATACATTTTGAACGCAATTATTCAAACCAAATATATGTTCATGAAGGTAAAAATTATCTACATTTTGATTGAATTGAACCCTACAAATGTATTATTTTTAATCTACAAGTCAACCCTGTAATTGATCTGGTGAACAAATGACTTCTGATGACCAGAAACTAAATGCTATTTTAACATTAGGAGACAAAAGGCGCTACAGAAAAACATTTGCATGTGGTTTACACTGCAGTGACAGCCCTGTTAAGGGTCATGATTAAGCAGACAGACACTGCACAGGTTCTATCAGTACCGTCTCAGTCTCTCTCTCTGTAAACATGCTCCTGCTCTGGCCTGTAACTTTCCACGTTAACGTCCACCGAGCACGAGACAGACCGGTGACTGAATATAAATGTTTACTCCATGAAGACAGATTCGATTTTCTCGTGAACACATCCAGCGGCAGATCCTTGCTGTGGCTCATTTCACGTAAACATGTCACAGGATTGGGGGGGGGGGGGGGGAGTCACGTTCCCACCAAAAGCATTCCACGGAATTCCTGGCAAACCAAATCCCTGTTAACTATCAACTATCAGACAAAATGCCGCAAATCAACCCCAGTAACACTCCCCGTGTCAGTGTGCTTTTAAACTCTGTTAAACCTGGCACAGCCAAGTCCCATTATCGGCTTATAAAAGGACTGTTGGGACAAAAGATGAGGACTAAAGTGATGAGAGACACAGACAGGCCGGGGGAGGAGGGGGAGGCCACCGATTGTTTTTAGGACACTTTCAATTACATAAATGGCTTCAAGTGACCTATAGCTGAAAGCAGAATAGAGCCTAATGGGGATATTGATGTCTCGCCACCCCCCACAAACACACACACACAGCTGTTCCATTTAACCCTCTGAGACCCGGCAACTTTGGCGTCTTTAAGAGGCTGTCGCTGGCTCACTTTTCAAGCTAGGGTAAAGATGTTGGTATGATATGAAACAGGATGACCTAGGGCAGGGAAAACGGCTAAATAAGGCTGCAAATTTTGGCGAGGGGAAAAACTCGTACGGCCATGTTCACAGGGGTCCCTCGACCTCTCACCTCAAGATATTTGGGTCCCTGCCAGAGACTGTATATAAGAAGTGGACGTAGTCACAGTGAAGTCACCCACTGGATTGTGGACTGCCGTTTTGAAGCATCAAGTTTGGCATTTTGGCTGTGGCCTGCTTCTTTTTTTGCAATTAGAAGTGACACGAGATGGGTGGAGCTAAGTACAACCAAACACTGAATAAGACATTTTTGTGCGACCAAAAAAGTTAACTTAAAATTAAATTCATGGAGTGAAAACACTCAGTGAAAGGGTTAAACGTCTAAGACGAAAAACAAGGACTACTTCCAGATCAGGCAACTCTGTGTTAGCGACCTGTCAATGACAAGGTAGCCCCGCCCCAAATCATACCCTGCTTTATGGTCTATTTCACTCTAAATGGATCATGATGTACTAGATGAACATCATGCTGTATTGAAGAAGACTTGAAACCAGAGATTGAGACCATAAACTCATGTTTACAATGTTTACTGAGGTAATAAATCAAGAGAGAAGTAGAGTCATTTTCTCATAGACTTCTATACATTCAGAGGAATCGCCCCCTGCTGGCTTTGTGAATGGATGTAAGCTTAAGGCACTTCTGCATTGGCCTAACTTTTCAGACCCGGAGGTTGCCCACGAGTCTCCCCTTTAAGAGACATGCCCACTCATGCTAACCCCATGTAGTTTTGGGAAAAAGTCTTTACATTGCATGAATTAGGTTTGACTGGAAAGCTGAGACTCTTGTGGATCCAATGACCCCCCAATTGTATTCATGTGTGATGATGTTAAACCACATAGTAATCGTTTCATTGTAGTGAAACTTGACGTCTCTGTATAAAATGCCCTGTTGTGATGTCGAGGATGATCACAGGCTCATGAACCTTTATAACCACAGACTAGAGACCTGGGGCATTCAGCGGGTTAGGGTTTTCATAGGTTTATTGACAATGGGGTGGTTTCTGAGCAGTTTCAAGAACAGAAGTACTCGCCATCCAATCGCCAAAAGAATGCAATTCTTACAGAAGTTCCAGCATTTAGTTTTCAATGTGGTATTTTGGAGGGATTTGTATTAATTTTCATCAATTCTCAAGTGGTAAAAATTGTTAAATTTAGCATAAAATCTGTGTAACAAATAGTATCAGCCCAAAAATTACCAATGGGGACACGGGAATGGACGTCATATTCTTCCATCATAATGGTCTAAACCCTTCAGATTGCCCCGTCTTACCCAACAATAAAAGACTAAAATGGGTCTATAAGGGAAAACAAGAGCTGCCTTGTGGATTACTCAAACTGAATTTCACCACACAAAAGTATTAACCGCCAAAAAGTATCCCTGATTGAATCTTGCGGTCGGTATCTGCTGGCAGAGACCAGTGTTGCTGTCGCACGCACGCACGCACGCACACGCACGCACGCGCGCGCACACACACACACACACACACACACACACACACACACACACACACAC